ACTGAGCTCGTAGCAAATTTTTTCAGCTACAACTTTGTTCAAAACCACTTTTCAATATAATGTAAGCATCAAAAGTTATCAATAATTCAAGCCACTAATGTCTTATGATTATGCTCAATCAACTGTTCAGCAGGCAACATTGGTGTTTCTGGCGCTTAGAATAGAGCACAAAAATCATGGCTACTATGTCACACTGCAAGATACAGTGGTGTTCACAAAACAGCTGCTTGATCATGCCATAACATTATCAATCTCTTAAACAATTAACAACTATTTTATTTGACGTTTGGCAATATGGAAAAAGGTAAGAAGACAATGAACAAAAAGTTTGGATTTCCCATAGTAATTTCCATGTAAACTTCAACTGGTTTGTGCCAAGTCAGTTTCTTATAAAGGAGTTCAAATGTTGGGAGACTAATCAGGGCCCGATTTGGATCGGTTTGAGCGCTGTGGAGCGAAAATGTCAAAATTTGCATCAGTCTAGTGTGCAGAGTTTATTACCCCTTGGGTCGGTATTAAAAGTTAATCCAAGTTGGAGCTCATGGTCATTAGAGCTACACGCAACAACAAATACACTGAAAAAATTCATTTAATTTTTTTATGTCTAAAAATGCATTTAATTTTATTTTGTTTTGATAAATGCACCTCAAGTGATCTGCGCTTAGGCTGAATACCTGCAGAAATTTCTCATACAAATGACTCTAAGTGACTCCCTTTCTGAGTTATTCGCAGTGGGCGTGTACTAAGATTTGAGTTCACCAGAACGTTCTCGAGCAATATGTGAAAAAGGCATACAAGCCAAACGTAAACAACACTCTCAAACAAAATAACTGTACCATCTGATAGAGCAAACTTTTTCTCAGATGCTGCTGGTGGTTTGTCAGAATTAGATCGACGTTTAAAGTCATTGTTTACATTTGGCACATAAGCCCTTTTCACATGTTGCTCTAATTACTAGCTTCCTCTCACGGTAAATGTTCATGTAAAGTGATTTTCTGTTGAATTTGCATTGCAATTCGATGTGCAAATCCCTTGGAAGAGATCATATCGAAGCACGATGAAATCAACAGCAAATCACTTCAATTTAGATTGTATTGCACATCGTTGTTGATGTGCTGTGCTTTGAACTCGAAATGTCAACCATACTGATATTAACAATCTATCACTTTAAGGCTGTGTTCCATTTGGTGAATTTTCACTTAAATTTGACAGAATTTTCAAATTCTATTCCAGCAGACTTATTTCTGACAGACAAGGAATCAACTTTGACAGACGCTTTCTCGAAAATCGGCCGATTAACAACAGAGAGATGTTCGAACATCCTTATTTATTTTCGAAGTGTCAAATTTAAGTGAAAATTTTCCAAATGGAACACAGCCCAAGTTTAAATAATTTATCCTTGGATTTAATTTTTGCTGAAAATGGGATTCGATAAATATATAGCCTTGTTCATACTGCAAGCCTTGTTATATTTTATTCAGAATATGACCATATCATATTACTACCCAGATCCCACATCAGTTACGTGAAGAGCTTTTTGAGTGTGTTGATTTATTTCCTTTTAATTCCGTTATAAAAGCTTATATTTTGACAGTAAAGCCCGATTCAAAGTAAATTTGGACGCATTCAAGTGATCATAACATTACATACTTTAGTGCGAAGTATCCTGGAATATGCTGCTCCCATTTGGGCACCGTACCATACATCTCAGGTGATCCGCATCGAACGTGTGCAGAAATCATTCATTCGCTTTGCTCTTCGGCACCTACCGTGGAATGATCCTGTCCATCTACCTGCATATCCAGAACGATGTCAACTAATTGATCTGGAACTGCTATCGGCAAGACGGCTGAAATTGCAGCGGCTGGTTATATTCGATATCGTCCAGAATAACGTCGACTGTTCGGATCTTCTCCTGCAAGTATCACTGAACGTTCCACAGCGTCAGCTGCGGTACTCAGCACTTATCGCAGTTCCCGCACATAGAACATGTTATGGTCATAACAACCCGCTCAGTTCTTGCCTCAGAGCTTTCAACAATGTTAGTGATTTGTTTGATTTTAATGTGTCCAAAAATTGTTTTAAAAATAGGATTAAAAACATAGCATAAGTTAAACTAGTCTGTACGACACTGTCGAAGACGAAGAACAAATAAACAAATAAACAAATAACTCAAGAATTAAACAACATACACGGTTGATTAAAACGTCAAACAAAGGGGTATTGATTCAGCTTTCAAACGTTATAGAACAAGTTATTACATTTCACCGTTTCCAACGAACTGTCGCACTTTACTTGTGATCAATGCCATCATGATCTGCACAGTCGCTGGTGACACTGTACCGGCGAACTTATTCCACTTTAAACGCATTTGTTGTGCATTTGTCACTTCTTTACCGCATCCTCGAAGTTTTCGTTTGGCAATTGCCCAATATTTTTCGATCGGTCTGAACTCAGGACAATTCGGAGGATTAATCTCTTTGGCGACGAAATTAACATTGTTTGCAGCATACCATTCTAGTACCTCCTTAGAGTAGTGGCAGCTGGCTAGATCCGGCCAAAACATAACGTTGGTCTTGTGTTGCCGAAAGAAGGGTAAAATCCGCTTTTTCAGACACTCTTTAATGTAAACCTTCGACGTCATTGTGTGAGATGTGATGAAAACCTTGGTTTTAAGGCCAAAACTGCAGATTCCTTGCCAAATCATTAGTTTCCGAGCAAACTTATCAGCAAAAAACAATTTATACCTGAAAGGGACATCCCCACGACCAGTTGACAGGTAAAATTTTCGTCCGGGGATTTGTTTATAATCCATTTTGACATATGTTTCGTCATCCATTAAAATACAGCCATCAAATTTCGTCAAAACTCGTTCGTATAGTAATCGTGCTCGCTTTTTGGCCACTAAATTTTGTTTCAGGGTGCGATTCGGATCTTTACTGTCACAAAAAGACTTATATCCTTCTCTTGAAAGGATGTTACGCACGGTGGAAAAGTTGGAATCGTATTTTTTTTTGCCAAATCACGTATGGAGACACCTGGGTTGCTTTTCACGTACCTCAACACCTTTCTCCTCAGCTCTTTGTCCCTAGTGCCACGTTTATGATAGATGCGCTGTGCTCTATCCACACTCAGAGTATCCTTGTAACGTTTGATTACAAGACTCACCGTTGACTTTGGGAATATTAACACTTTTGCTATTTTTGAGGCAGACCACGAAGGGTTCTCTAGATGTGTGTGCACAATTAAGTTCCATGATCCGTAATGCGGGATGCGTCGATAAATCGAGAAAAACTTTTCACCAATCTCTTCGTCAATGAAACATCAACAAATGCCTGTCAAACGTTTTTTGTTCCAACCACCAGGGGCGCGGTGGTGTATTAAATCGTACGTCCAGATTTACTTTAAATCGAGCTTTACTTGGCACTGATGAAGTCTGCAAGTAGTATAACGAAATTAAAAGGAAATAAATCAACACACTCAAAAAGCTCTTCATAAAGGGATTCCGTTAAAGGGCCACCTACATTAGATCCGTTTGCGTTGCGTTGACGTAAATTTGACAGTTAGACAATAGATTTAGCTGTCACTTTGCCGCAACGCGTCCGATCCGGATCTAATGTGCGTGGGCTTTAAGAGGTTCGACATAATTTTAAGATTTCTTAGTTAAGTGTGCATGTTTTTTAAAGGCACCAGGCTGAACGCTACTAGACCGAATGTTATAAAGTCAGTGATAAATTAATAGTTATTTTTAATAAAATCCTCCTAAGGTTTTTTTAATATTAGATTACGCGAGAAAATAGTGCGTGATCAGTGTTTTACATTGTAAACTTTTCAAGATTTGAAACTTCAGAAAACTTAAATTTTAAAATTGGCTTTATTCTCAAGATCTCATCAGATTCAACAAAAACGTCAATCTAGAACAAAGATACAATTTCAGAATTCTGATGCATTTAAGAATTGCTTGGAGAATTTTGATGAGAATGCAATTACCCTTCAATATAGGTATCTTCAGAATCGGGGTGACTTCTACAAACCGGAAATCGATGTCTGACGCCTCTTGAAATCCTTGGAAGCCGCCATTCTAGTTATGGGAAAAATGCAAATATTGAAGGGTATTCTCAGAATCGGGCCACCGAAAACGACTGTGAGAATAAGGTGAGAGTTCATCGGGTTCAACCGAAGTGACTTTTCTCACCTCATTCGCCAGCCGGAATCGGATGACACAAGTGACTCGAGTCACCTCACTTCACGCGCCGCGCAGAATAAACTTCATTGCTTTGCCTTTTTTGATTTCTGCTATGCCATCTTGGAGTACTTGGATCAATGACGTTGTATGACGCAGAAATCGTTCAAACTTTGGCCTATTGGGATTCGTTTAACGAAAATCGACAAATTTGCATTCGACCTTACGACCCACTCCAGTTTTTAAGAAACCTCGCTACTCCTCTGATAATGACTTTCTAAAACCATGAGTCAAGCTATCGTTCCTGTTCCAACTGGCATTTTTCCTGAGGAAGGAATTGGCCGATCAGGTGGGGTCCTTCGAGTTAAGGATTGCCCCCACACTCTCCTGTGTCCGTGATCGGACAGCTCAGTTAAATTGAATTTTGAATGCAAGCTGAGTTTTTCGAACCATATCCGCCATGTTTAAGTTGCAAAACACATTGTTTACATTGTTAAACTTGGCGTTGAGCACACATTTGCCAACAAGCTCGACCGTACTGACTCATTCCAGTGATAGTGACTCATAAAATTAAAATGTTGTCCGTCGGCTCAGCAACGCGTTGATAACAAGTGTAAAACAGACGCACCACCACCTCAATCATCATCATTCGAACTCTCTTTCTCCCTATCAAAGCTGCCTCGGTGTGGTCTGTAATCGCAGAGAGCAACCCCTCGAGAAGCGGAACTTAATTCCAGACACAATCGCAATTACAATTCATCGTGATTCACAGCTCTATCGCGTGTCTACATTTTCCTCTTCTCGATTTCTCCCGAAGAACTCGGCGACCCGGAGCTGGAACGCCGATACGATGACCCCAGCAACGATGTGGACTTTGTACCGACCAGAAGCAGCAGTAGCAGCAGCAGCAATTCGAATGATGCAGGCCGCCACTCACTATCGGCTCGCAAGCAAACTCGCCAGACGGAATCGCAAATCCTGGCGGAGAGTGAGGAAAGCGGCTTCATTGGACGTGCCTCCTCCATCCAGGCCATCACCAAGATCGATCTGGGACTGAACTCTCAGCTGACGGGAACGCGCGGAACGACTGTGCAGCTGGTCTTCGAGGTGACCAACTTCCGGCAGACACCGGTGTTCTACTACTTCCGGGTGACGGACGAGTTGGGTTTTCTGCGATCGCTCAATCCGGGATCGTAAGTTGGATTCGTTTTGGTTTGATCGGCAGTTGATGTTCATTGAAATTTTCTTCTACTTCTAGCGCGACGATCGGTCCGCTGCAAACGGTCAACGTAGCGGTAACGTTGATCATCGGGCTGAACGTGGAGATCGGTACCAGGGACAAGATCACCTTTAGCACCGAAGGACCGGATCGGATCTCGCACGCTGCATGGCTGACGGTCACGGAAGCGGCTGGAATTCCCGACGCCTACATTCCATCGGTTTGGTACACCTACACAAGTCGATGCGAGGGCCGGAATGATCCGGGACGGTGTGCCGGTGCCTTCTGGACCGTGGACGTTACGGCAAGGGATTACGAAACGGGTCTGATGCGGATTTCGTCGAATCCTTCGGGTATCATCTACAGGACTCCGTTTACCGCCGGTACCAAGGACGATGTGAAGGCTACCTACACGGCTTCCTGCTGCCAACCGATGGTCACCATCTCGGCGTACGATGTCACCAGGAACGTCCGGACGATAAACCTGGACGTCAGGGACATCTGGCTGAACGAAGCGGGCATCGCGGCAGTTGTGCTGGCCGTTTTGCTGCTGATCGCCTTGATCATCCTGTTGGTACTGTTGATACGGTATTGCATCAGGAAGCGCCGCTCCAAGGAACTGCCGATTTACCGAGGAGAGCTGAGGGACACCCGACGGACGTAGATCCGGGTCGGGAAGTTGCGGGCGGAGCGAATATATGACCTCAAAGAGAAATGCCATTGTTGTTAGCGTTTTAAGTTTAAAGTAAATTATGTGCATTTAAGCTAGCAGATAGAGAACGGTGCCGGTCTAAGTCAAGCAAAACTAATCAGTATTTCAGTAATAGCTGGTAAGGACGAAAGTATGCCAAAATGTAGATTGTAAATAACATTTTTTTATGTGTGATGCTTTAGTTGAAATGTAGTTTTCAAAGCTGAGTTGTGAAACGCCATTCCATATCTCCGAAATCAGTTGTCCGAATGAGGTGGAATTTACTGATGATTACAGATCAAGATGATCCCATCAACATAATTCCGTTTGGTCATTAAAAAGTTCATACACAATTCCCTGTATTTTTCCACAATAAAATTCTATTTGAATACTCAATTTGTTTTCGAACAGAATTGAGTATTGAAAAAATATAACATTTAATCTCATCTAAATGACCGCTCTACCCCATTTGGCATAATGCTCTCAAAGCTCGAGATTTCAGAGTATTAATTTAATTACGAAAGTAAATACATATACGGTAAGAATACTTTTTATTATTCTGAGTCTCGAGGTTCGAGTCCTCGAACATACAAAAGTTTTGAACATGCAGTGACTTTTTTGAGAAATCTGATTTAAAGAAAACTACTTAAAAATAGAATCAACCAACAAACTAAATCATAGAATTCAGTTATTCGATTGAACTAAGTGTTTGAAATTTCCCTAACTGTTGGCAACATTTCCTGATAATTCCAGGTATTTCAAAATTCCCTGCTAATTCAAAATTTGTCAGGCTGTTCACAGGTAGTTTCCACCCTGTAATAGCATTTGGCAAAAACGTGGAAAAGCTTTGAATTTGAAGAACATCTCATGATCAAAGGGGACAATAATTATTCAATGAGTATTTTCTTTTATTTTGAACATGAGCTGTTCTTTCATATTTTTTGAAGAACAGATCGTAATTTAAGCAGGGTAGAGCTGGAATACTTGTTCGAGGACATCTTTAAAAGACTCTATCGAACTCTCGAGAAAGAACTAATTGCAGAATGTGTGCAGGTTTCTCGAAAAAGTACATCACCTCATAACTACTCTCAAATATGTTTAGACTTTTGTAAATAACCGATTTTGAAACCTCTTATTGAGGTTGTTATTGAGGTCCATAATAAATTTCCACCTTGAACCAAACGCATTCCATCGTCAAAAAAAAAGTGCATCCCCACCTACCTGTTGTTTCCGACTCGCGGCTGACTTCGAGCATCGGCGGCGGCGACGGCGTTGGCTCTTTGGGCGGCGGCAGTGGCGGTGCCGCCGGAAGCAGCAGCGCATTATGAGCAAAGTCGTCCAACGTTAGGCCGGTCACCTGCATACTCAGCAGCGGATTCTTGACGGGGGCTGCCCGTGACGACGTGTCACTTTTAGTAGCAGCTCCTCCTCCGCCGCCTCCCGTACCACTACTACCTGTAGCAGCAGGCAGCGGCGACGGAGCCGCCCCCTCACCACTTGCCGACATCATCGCAACCACAGCAGCAGCTCGCACACTTTCTCTAACGACGATGGGCCACTAACCGGAGGAACCAGTTTCGAACGAATTCTGGGTCACTAGAGCACTTGACAACCTTTTTTTTCTGTTGTTTTTCGTTGATTTTGCACAATGGAAATTCACCAGACACTTTCGCAGAATGTAAACAACAATAAGCACAGCACGTTCTATTAAATTGGCAGTAAATTCACGCTATCTCCCACTAGAAACACGCACTTTAACCAACGGTACTCGGATGATATGCACGAACTTTTGATAAACACAGCAGAAATTATCACGGAAAATTGCCACAAATAAAGGGAAAATTAGATTCCCACACCAGAAAATGTACAGCTCGCAAGGATTCCGCAGATTCGGATTCGGGCTAGTGAACGAGACGGGACGACGACGGGAGAAACGTCAAGATAAAATAACACCACTCTGCGGTCTGTTGACGTTTGCCGCTGTTGCTTGGTGAAATATTTCAACCTGGTTACGTCTGAAGAAGACGCCTGTGTAAAATTTAATTCAGCGCTAACATTTCAGTAGAGCAAAACTGCCTTTCGAATCAATGACTTTAAACACCGATTTCTCGCAAATAATCACCCCTATTCTGTATTTCGTTTCGAACGAAATTCTCATACAAAAAATATTTTTTTGTATGAGAATTTCGTTCGAAACGAAATACAGAATAGGGGTGAATAACTGACTCCTGCAAATTAACAATGACCGCTGGTAGAGGAAAGATTCATCTATACTAGAAATACTCAGAGGGAGAGATGGGCGGAGAAAACAAAATACAATTCAGCAGCAGATATTTGTACCTACATAATCTTGCAACCCTTGCTAGAAGCTACACGAAACGAAAATCAATTATTTAATTCATGTGTTTCACTTATACATTTTTGCCAAAGCATCAGCGTTAAACATTCCATAAGACAAACCACATAGCTCCTATTAGAATGCATAAAAGGTATGTGTGACCGCTTATACATTTCATTTGACACATGATCTTTATTAACTTTTTGCAAGGCGTCTGCTTATTAGTTGACTTATACATTTTATGAATAATCAGCAATGGAAATTTGCCAAAAGGTATAAGGAGATTTCTATCCGTGTAGCATTTCACATGACTGTTACTTTTGATTCGATTTACGTGCAAAATAATAATTGATTACACCGCAATATTTTGCACATTTCTTTGTGCTATTAATTAACCAACTAAGATCAATTAATCAATAGAGTTAAAATATTGTTTTTTATTCAAAAAACTAGTTGAATTTGAGAAACACACGAAACATAAAGGTGATTGAATTTCTGTTCGATTGCAATTCATTTGACTCAAAACATTCATTCCGCTTATCTCTCCCTCCAGCCCAGTGACAGGCGCGTAGGCAGCATGTTATACCGTGACAGCGGGCCCAGAACAGCAACATAAATGATTTGAGGCCGGGACATGCTGCCTACTGTCGGCGTTAGCGACGTTGTTTACAAAAGCACTTTCGCTATTTTGAAATGTTTATGAAAATTATTTTCCAACATTTTACGAGCGCTTATGGCCGCCACAATCTGGCTGAGTTTTTGGTAGGGAACATATGATTTAACGTTTGGCTTGTACCGTTTGACGTGAAAACGTTCAAATTTGATCGTTTACACGTCAAACGACACAAGCCAAACTTCAAATCTTATGTTCCCTACCAGAAACTTAGCCAGATTGTGGCGGCCATAAGCGATCGTAAAATACTGGATAAGATTAGACACACGCTATTTAAATAACTACCCAAATTTGGGTAGAAGCCACCCAGATCTTTCAAAACTGATCCTTCCCAAAAATGGGTAAAATATGTTGGGAGTGACAAGTTGACAAATTAGCAAAGTCCGAAGGATTTCTACCAGCGTTAATTACCGGTCAGTGCCTGGGGGGACGTGCTGCCAAATCAGCCTACTGATCATTCGTGTATGAAATTGGTTCGAAACGTTAACAAACCCTCTAGGTTTCTTATGGCTTGTTTACGTTTGGAACCAGTTCTGCGAGGTAGCCGACGATCAATGACGTTTATATAAGGTCTGGGCCAAAGGGCTTATTGGTGTTAGTGAAATGTGCAAATGGTTAGTGGTGTTCGTATTATATTGCAATGTTTATCTTTTTACACGAAACAGCTGTTGGCAGTGACGTATTTCTATCTGTTCTCAGTATGTCGGCAGTGACGTATATCTATCTGTTCGCAGATGTTCAGCAATGTTTACAACATTTTTGCTTCTAACACCAGCAAGCTGCCTGTTGGCCCAGACCTTATATAAATGTCATTGGCCAACGATTGTTCGTATTTGACACAACTCTAGCTCCTTCAAGGCTCTGTGGAATTATTTCAATCATCGTTTACATGAGACCAATGTTACCTTTTCACCTCTGCAATTCCATGGAAAGGATGCTCGGTTATTTTTTAAACTAGATCAATACATTTATTGTCGTGAGATATGTGATCAATGATTACTATTTAAATTAATTAGGCGTAGAACACAAATAAAAAAGGGAGTGAGCTTGGGATTGAACTCACGACCTTCTACGTGGAAAGCGAAAATGGTAACAACTACAGTACTGATTTCGTCATTTCGTCTTGTTGTTAGACTGAACCAGTGTTGTGGAATAATGAATCTAATACGTCGTTTATAAAGCATTTACAAGGCATGCGATTAAAGCATGGATGCATAGTAGTATAAGAGCTATTTTGCTGACTGTATTCACCATTATACAGCAATATTGTAAAGCAATGCAATGAAATCTAATAACGGAGCTAGAAAACATTTATAAGACGTCTAATAAAACATTTCATTAAATCAATTGAAAACAGTCGAATTAAAGCGTCTATGTATGTGCAAATTACACAGTTTGTTATTAGATCAAACTTCTGATTTTGAATCAAGATGACAGTCAACGTTTATAAAGCATTTAATAAGTAAATTCATCATATCAGAGCAAACAGAGGAATAAAGGCGCATCTATCGATCTCAATGAGCTTTTTTCAGCACTTAATTGACGAATCCAACTTGAACTAATGCGTGCCTGGTGACAGGAATAAGCACTATCCGAAGGTGATCAGATAGTGACAGCCCTTGGAAATTTCATTATTTTTATGGAAATTCGTTAAAATACAGTGCTAGTTCGTGTAAATATGTTCGATAGAAGGGCCCGAAATAACGTGCTCAACTTTTTGGCTCAGCTCTGGTACTATCTTCGGTCCCAAGCTAATCGATTCACCCCTCGAAACATAGGAAAATCCACTAACCCCTCATTTTATCTGTCAAACTTTCATAGCGAATCAAAACAAACATTGTGTAGTACTATAATTTCGACTAGAATGGGGTACGTTAATCGATTTGCTTGGAACCAATAGGTCAAGTAGTGAGCCAATTTAAAATCGTTATTTTCGTATTGATTGTTGCTATTACCAATAATGGATTGTTAAGAACCATTACCATTCAAAATTCTTGTTTTCTCCATACATTTTCGAAAAGAAAACTATATTAAAACCTTTTTACTTATGGTTTGGAACTTTAATGGTAATGTAATGGTATGGTAGTTAGTAAGGTCCATAGATGGTTCCTTCGTTCAATGGCCTCTTTCGGATATTTACCATAATAATACTTATACGGTTATTTTGCTTAACGACGTGTTCAGGCTATCATGCAAATCATTTGTAAATAGTTCTATCATTTGGGTTGTCGTTGGAGTTTTGGTATTTTTATTAGGGTACTTCAAGGCTCCTTCTGGCGTTTTGACCGGCATCAATGAACTTCTAAAGATATATCGTACGATCAGCAGTCCCGAAACTGTTGACCAAGAATCCAAAACATATCCAGCTTCCCATGCTCGGTAATGGCGGCCTGTTTGTATAAATAAATCTAGATAGAGCTGGAATTCATACAAACAGGCTGGAATGACTTTTATCGATGATTTCTATGAACTCAAGGCATGCCCACGTAAACCATCATAATCGTCCCCTACCCGATGGTGTTGTTGAATTGCGAAGACCGGCCTTAACTTTCTAGAAATCATCGAAAGAAGTCATTGTTTACAAAAGCTGTTACGCCCTAATTCCAGCTCTATCTAGAAATGTATCCTTCACTGTGCTTTTTGACACTATTTGGAGGTTCTGATTTTGACCCCTCCCTTTCCCTCTTCCAGGAACAGAAGAAAATGGAACAACATACGCCAACCAGTTAGTGTCAAAAAGCACAGTGAAGGATACATCTATTCACAGAAAAACAAAACTACCCACCGCTTGAGTTTTTTAAACTCAAATTTGAGTTATTTGACCTCTGCCCGTTTCATTTCCTCTCGCTATTGTTGTCAAAAAAATAACGAAAGATTCGACTCAACCGTCTAGTTCCGTACGAGAAGCCAAAATTGAGTAATATGCGATATACCCAAATTTGAGTTCATTGAACTTAATTTTGGGTAGAAAAAATTGAAAATAACTTAGCGATGGGTAATTTTTTTTGCCGTGCTTAAATGCAAACTACTTTGAGCCGGTTTACCCAAATTTGGCTTATCGTACGGAACATGGGAGATGAGTGAAAAGAACTTAATTTTGGGTTGTTTTGAATTTCTGTGTTCATACAAACAGGCCACCATTACCGAGCATGGAAAGCTGGATAAACTAACTCAAAACGTATATCACAGACAAACAGACATAAAACATTGAATACTTCTCACTGTAAATCATGGTCGCTAAAGCATTACCTCCAACTGTTGAGTACACTGTGGTGGGCAGTACGCTGAACAGATGGCGGTAGTATGTAAACGACAAGCGCAAAAGAATTGACTATTCACGCTATAGGTGGCGGTACTACCAACTGAATAATTCTCGTTGAAACCAGGCCACCATTGACTTATGATCTTTAAATATTTAAAGACACGTCATAAGTGGAAAATGGTTTACCTCGTTATAGAAAACTGTTGTTTCATAATGTTAATGTCATTGCTCACCTAATCTGTTTAGTTATCTGATAGCATTTTTCTCAGCTTTTAGATGGTGACGTCAGAATCAAAATCATTTTTCTTATAAAACTCAATATCGCGGCCAAATCCAAGAAAACCGCCAAAACAATTCCATTCCGAATGAAGGCCCTATCTTTCCTCTTCATAGAAACGTGATGTTTGCAGGAGGTTTCCATATGGAATTTCAAAGATTTAACAAGATAAATATGTCAATAATTGCTAGAAATTCAACTTTTTTGAAAACTGTAAGGCCTGGCGAGCGAGGGGTTAAATAATTTGAGCTTAGGAAAGTGGTAATCCCATTTTTTCATAAGTTTCGACCAATCAAGCTGATAGCGGTTGGTTCGGTAACGACCTGGATGGTACACTA